AACCCCAGAGAAAGTCTGGACATTTTCCAGAGTTCAGAACATGTAAAAAACGATAGAGAGAAGTAACCTTTGTGGTTTCTGTCTGTTATCTAACCAGGTCGTCTTGCTGAGATCCAGATCAGAGACAAAAACGTTCAGTGAAAAGGCTGCATGCAGGTCAGTGTCCGATTCCAGCTGCACAACAACACACATGACGCAAACAAAGACTTACAGTGCAGAATGTGGGAGGTAGTACTGCGAGGAACGTCTGAATCTATAGAAAGTGGATGTCTGAGTTGGTGTCTTCGAGGTTAAGTGTGTTAAGATTAGTTATTGTGATTTGACAAATTGGTATTATTCCATCAGTTCTTAAAGTTTAGTATTTAGATGCAGGATTCGAACACTTTGACACCAGAGAGCAGACGTCATCTCCTGCTTCCTCTGACTTGTTGGGTTTTGTCTTTTTAAAACATTTGGTCAGGATTCAGGAAATGTTGTGTTTTTGGTGAGATATTGAAAAAGTCTGTGTTTTCCCAAACTTTAACCAAAAGCTTTGAAATGTTCTGACATAACCATAACACCATAACATCCCCCGCCCCCCCACTCTAATCCATCTCCACCAGCTTAGAGTCAACATCCCCCTCCTCACCTATAAATCCCCTCATGCCCCCCAGTACCTGCTTGACCTCCTCCACCGTTACTCCATCCTGGAACCTCCGGTCCTCAGATACTGGTCTACTCACCATCCCCCATCGCAGCCTGAGAGGAGACTTTTGATCACAAGTTTATTTCTCTGCAGTTTACATTTCCACCATTGTGTCAGAGATAGCCAGGGACCAGAGGCTTTATATTTTCATATCCGTCAGATAGCTTAAAAACAACCTGAGAGAATTTCTTCAAATTTGGTAGAAACGTTTCTTTGGGCTCAGTGATTACCTGATTAGATTTTGGTGGTCAAAGGTCAAAGGTGAAGGTCACGTTGACCTCACGATCATGTTTTTAGCCTCTTGAAGGTTATGTCTCAAGTCTATCTTGAGGGAAATTGTCCAATTTTTGACCCATTGCCACTTGGACTCAAAGATGAACTGACTCGTTCGTACTCTATGCTACATCGTTGAATTACTCAGGTACAGTTTCGACAGGAGCCATGGCACAAAACATGTTCATTAATTTTTCCCAGTTTCAGTTTGGAAGACATTAAACTGTACTGCACAGAGCCCTGAACTTAACCCCATCCACAGGAACTGGAAAGTGGACGGTGATACAGATCTCATCACCCAACATGAAATCCTGCAGCCATGCATTTTACTGTGCAGTGTCCACATACTTCTGGCCAGTTAGTGCATGTATTTATCAAGACTGTAAAGAGCATTAACACAAACTGACAGGTTAGATTCTCCACTGAAGGAATGTGAATGTGTTTAATCCCAAACCTTTAGCACCTGAAGCCGATTAATCCATCCCTCTCCTTTCTCCTCTCTCACCTCCACCCTCCCTCCTCCTCCTCCTCCTCCTTCATCCCTCTCTCCTCTGATCCTCGAGGCCGGTCTTTCACAAAGCTCTCACTCAGGGCAGATTGCAGTTGACTGTAACGTAGCGGAGAAGAAAGTTTATGCAAGAGGAGAGTGTGTGTGTGTGTGTGTGTGTGTGTGATAGAGGCCCTCTGTTAAACTAACAGACAGCAAGGAGGTCTCTGGTCTCCTCTTTTGTGTCTCCTCTCTGTCTCCTGCAGGCATGCATGCAGGGCCACCGCAGAAACAAAAAAACACATTTCAATGTGACTTCAGTGTGTGTGTGGGGGGGGGGGGGGTTAAACTACCTTTATATACACCTCTACTCCTGCCCCCCAGCCCCTGCAGATACCCCCGAGCTAAGCCCCCCCATCATGTCAGAGGAGGTAGAAGCATAAAGAGATGTTGCGTGTTCACATGCACGTCACGGCTGCTCTGCGTTCCTGCAAAATAATAAAAAACTTAATGATCCACAGTTTTTTTAAATAATCAGCTTCGTGTTTTCTGTGTTTCAAGATCATAACAAGAAAAAATATGGAATTGGAGCAAATCATGATCAACTTCTAATTTAAAATTTACCAGGACGTCATCTATAACAAACTTTAAGTGTTGAGCTAATTTCAGTAATGCACTGAACTCCAGGTGATGTCCTGACATTTCTCTGGACTTTCTCCTGCCGGCCCTCGGGTAGAAACCCCGTGAAATATCTGTGACGTCTCTCTCGAAGGATGGAGAAGTGAGAAAACAAATATCTCAGGATGAAACAGAGGAGCCAAAAATGTAGAAGATGCTGACGAATACATGGAACGACAATGAGATTGGAGAGGTTGTGGTGACCCCAGAGTGCGGACACTGTCCAGTTCACTCGGGAGAACGGCTTCAGAAACCTGGAGTTAATGATCACAGTGTCTCTGGTCCACTCCAAAGCACTGTCACATGTTCTTTATGCAAAATAGCTGCACATGTATGATGATGCGGCCACTGGGTGGGCGTGTCTACGTGTGTGTGTGTGTGTGTACATACATATTGCAATCAGTCGATGCGTTGGGGCATGTGTTCCTAAAAAGTCTCCGGTTGTTTTGCAGTGGGAAGAACAGCTTGGCTGCAAAGCATCAACATGTCCGACAGCTGTGGGACAGATCTGCAGCTGTGTGTGTGTGTGTGTGTGTGTGTGTGTGTGTGTGTGTGTGTGTGTGTTTGTGTGTGTG